GACGGTATGTGTCGTTGATGTTGTTGTTGGTGATGATGGTGATGGTAGTGATAGTGATGGTGGTGGTGATAGTGATGATGGTGATGATGATGACGAGGTGAAGATGACGACGACGACGACGATGATATTGATTATGGTGATGATGGTGATGATGATGGTGGTGTTGGTGATGATGATGATGATGATCATCGCGATGGCGGTAATGATGGTGGTGGTGTTGCTTGTGGTGGTGGTGGTGTTGATGGTTGTGATGATGATGATGGTTGTGGTGGTGACGATCACGATGATGATGATGCTAATGCTGCTAATGATGTTGACGACGATGGTGTTGATGATGATCATGATAGTGATGGTGATGGTGATTATGACGATGATGATGGTGATGATAGTGATGGTGATGATGATGATGGTGGTGGTGGTGATGGTGTTGATGATGATGATGATGCTGCTGCTGATGATGATGATGATGATGTTGATGGTGATGGTGGTGTCTATGTTGATGGTGATGAGGAGGAGTAGGAGGTTGAGGAGGATAGAATGATGAATCCCGTTAGGGCCATCCTTGGGTTGTGTTGGCGTCTTGCCAGACAGCCTTGGCGAGCCTTTGGGGCCATCTTGGGCCGTCTTGAGGCCCCCGTACGGTGGCTTGGATCTCTCGTGAGCTGTCTAAGGGCCTTCTTGGCCGTATGGTGGTTGTCTGGGTGCCGTTTTGACGCCGTCTTGGGCCGTCGAAGGGCCCTCTAAGGCCGCCGTGGGTCCCACGTGAGGCCCTCGTGGGCCCTCTTGGGACCGTCGCGGATTCTTCTTTGGCAATCGTGGAGTCTTCGTCGGCGGTCTTGAGCTAACGGCAGCCCGAAAATGCGAGAATGCGAACTCGTCGTTTATCTTATGTTTTATGTATATTTATATATATATATATATATTATTTAAAAATAAAAAATGGTGTTGTCTTCTTCGGACCCTGTATGAGGTCCTCTTGCGGCCAGTCAGGGCCCTCTTTGAAGCATCGTGGGCAGTCTTCAATCAATAGTTGGCCGCCCTGGGGCCATCTTGAGCCGTCTTCGAGGCATCTTGGGCCATCGGGTGTCTTTGGTTGCCTCTGCACGGGCCGCCTTGGAAGTTCGGGTCGCATTTGACCAGGGGTCGTGGATTGGGAGGCCCTGCATTGCTTGGGGGCAGCGCCAGGGAATGCGGGAAGTGCACGGTCGCCGAGCGGATTCGCGTGGGATGAGGGGTATAGGAGTTAGTAGCCATGCGGGGAGTGCACAATCATCGAGCGGATGCGCATCAGGGCTCGAGCTAAACGGTGGTTTAGCTATTTCGTTGAACGTGTTCATGTTGACTTCGTTTTGCCGCAAAGGCGGAACGGAGACAGAACGAGGAACACCGAAACCAAACCGAAAATGAAAACACTGTTTAGTTCGAGCCTTGATGCGCATGGAATAAGAGGCATCAGTTGCCATGCTGGAAGTGCACCGTCCTCGAGCGGGCACGCGTAGAAAGGGGGTTCAGGAACCAGCTGCCATGCGGGAAGTGCACCACCCTCGAGCGGGCACGCGTGGAGTGGGTATTTGGCATTAGTTGTCGTGCTTGAAGTGCACCATCCCCGAGCGGGACGAGGGAAGTGGCTTCGGAAAGGACGGGCGGCGGTGCACGCAAGAGTCGTGTTGGTAAAGGGAGGGGCGGCCCCTTCCTTGAATCCAAAAACCCCACCAGACAGACCGTGGCATTCTTTCACGCCTCAACGTGCCCGGGTGCAAGATGGCGGATTAGACACACCAGTGCGCCATCCGTTCGGTTGGAAACGGGGTGGAGAAGGAAGAGCGCAGAAAGGTATATACCTCGAATTGTGCACGGAGGGGGCCCCCGCCCCGCCCCCGAGGAGGCCGAGGAGGCGGAGGAGGAGGAGGAGGAGGAGGAGGAGGAGGAGGAGAGGGAGGAGTGAGGGAGGGAGGAGGGAGGAGGGGAGGAGGATGGGGAGGAGAGGAGGAGGAGGAGGGAGGAGGGAGAGTGAGGAGGAGGGCGGAGGAGGAGAGGAGGGAGGGAGGGAGGGAGGGAGGAGGAGGAGGGAGGAGGGAGGAGGTAGGAGAGAGGAGGAGGAGGAGGAAGGAAGAGAGGAGGAGGAGAGGAGGAGGAGGAGAGGAGGAGGAGGAGGAGGGGGAGGGGCCCAGCATCAGCTTCGCCAAGTCCTCGTTTGTTGTTCTCTGTGGCCCTCGGCGTGGGCGCTGCCCGCGCCGCCCGCAGCTGGCCTCGCCCGGCGGGCTGCTCCCTCGGGGCTTGGAGAGATAAGCCTCGGAGGCTTTGCGCAGCGCCCGGGGGCTCCAGGGCACCCTCCTTCCCTCACGCCTGCTCCCTCTTGATCCATCCTCCTCCCTCCTACTCTTAAGTCGGGCCTGTTCCCCTACAGGGGGATTGTCGACGAATGATAAAAGATACCCCAAACTAGTCAGAACATAGTCCAAAAATGGTTAGGGTACGATTTTTGATTCATTTGTTTGCTTTTTGGGGGTATTGGGTGGGTATTTTCTTCCGTCGAAAATCCCCCTGTAGGGGGACAGGCCCGACGTAATCCTACTCACTCCTCTATGCTCCATCCTCCCTCCTCCTCCCCCCTCATCCACCATCCTGCGATCCTGCGTCATTTGGTGATGGCCGCCCTGCCTGAGGACAATAAGACCCTCCTCCTCCTCCGCCTCCTTATCATTACACGCCGGTCGTTGAACGTATGTATTTTTGGATGCCCAGATCCCAATCTGCTTCAATCGCCTTCCTACTTCAAGAACCGGGACGCTTCCGCTGTGGTCTGCTAGTCTCTGGGGGGGCCTGGACCCAATCCACTTGATCCGCCTTCCACTTCGTGTTTTTACCTACTTCTTCCGACCGACGTGTACGAGATACGGGACGACGTTCGCGCGGTGATGTTCCGATGCGAATCTGACGCAAGTCATACCAAGTCGCCGCGCGAGGCCTCCAGGATGATCCTCATATCTTTGAGGTCCCGAGGCCCGGGGTTCCCCCAGAGCCAGAGGGGTCTAGGACCCCCCACCTCCTGGCATCGCCGTTCCTCCGACCCTGGCGGTGCGCCAACGGGGACTCAGGGGGGGGGGGGGGGGGCAGCGGCCTTCCGAGGAGGCCCGCCCCCCCCTCTCAGGGGCCGACCCCCTTCGCAGGAGCGCCCCGTTCCATCTTGGCGGGCGTTCCCCCTATCGGCCCCCGCACGGCCCATCTTGGGTCCCCCCTTGGACCGTGTTGGAGCTCTACTGGAGCCCCCCTTGGGCGTGGGCCCTGGAGAGTCCAAAAAGGCGACAGCGCAAGAATCCGTCAGAAGCCTAGGAAAACAAGGGCGCCCTCGAGGGTGCGAAGTTATTCGCGCTTCGCGGTTCGGCTCCGATTCCTCCTCGTCCTCCTCTTCTCCCCCGGGAGGCGGCGCGAGAGCGCGAAGCTCGTCGCACCTCGCGCGTCGCGCAGCGCGAAGCGCGAAGCTGGGAGCCCTGAGAAAAAATCACCGCGTCTGGCCTCCTGGATCCCTTCTGCGGGGTCCTCTTGGGGCATGGGGGGCCTGAGCGGCTGAGCGGGTGGTGGGGAGGAGGAGGAGGAGGAGGAGGAGGAGGAGGAGGAGGAGGAGGGGGACGAAGAGGAGGAGGAGGTGACTGGGGCCCAGGGCGCAGGGACAAAGGCCAACGGCAGGCCCTCAAAGCAGACCTCGCATCGGTTTCGCTTCCTTGGGCGTGCCTGGGGGGGGCCCCTCGCTGCCGCTGCCGGCCTCGCCCCAGGAGCTTGATCAGGACGTGTTTTGGAGAGTACTGGGCGGGGCTAGGGCAAGAATAGGTCTTTCCAGAGCGTTCCAGAACGCTCTCAGAGCGTTCCTGAAATCTCGGGGAGGGCCGCGGCGCCTGATGATTACTTCAGAACCGCCGGATCTCAGAGATCCCCCATTTATCCCTGCCCTATGTTGTCCTATCGGCCCCCGCACGGCCCATCTTGGGTCCCCCCTTGGACCGTGTTGGAGCTCTACTGGAGCCCCCCTTGGGCGTGGGCCCTGGAGAGTCCAAAAAGGCGACAGCGCAAGAATCCGTCAGAAGCCTAGGAAAACAAGGGCGCCCTCGAGGGTGCGAAGTTATTCGCGCTTCGCGGTTCGGCTCCGATTCCTCCTCGTCCTCCTCTTCTCCCCCGGGAGGCGGCGCGAGAGCGCGAAGCTCGTCGCACCTCGCGCGTCGCGCAGCGCGAAGCGCGAAGCTGGGAGCCCTGAGAAAAAAACACCGCGTCTGGCCTCCTGGATCCCTTCTGCGGGGTCCTCTTGGGGCATGGGGGGCCTGAGCGGCTGAGCGGGTGGTGGGGAGGAGGAGGAGGAGGAGGAGGAGGAGGAGGAGGAGGAGGAGGGGGACGAAGAGGAGGAGGAGGTGACTGGGGCCCAGGGCGCAGGGACAAAGGCCAACGGCAGGCCCTCAAAGCAGACTTCGCATCGGTTTCGCTTCCTTGGGCGTGCCTGGGGGGGGGGCCCCTCGCTGCCGCTGCCGGCCTCGCCCCAGGAGCTTGATCAGGACGTGTTTTGGGGAGTACTGGGCGGGGCTAGGGCAAGAATAGGTCTTTCCAGAGCGTTCCAGAACGCTCTCAGAGCGTTCCTGAAATCTCGGGGAGGGCCGCGGCGCCTGATGATTACTTCAGAGCCGCCGGATCTCAGAGATCCCCCATTTATCCCTGCCCTATGTTGTCCTTGTCCTGGCCTCGTCTGTGAGTGCGCCTTCAGCGAATCCAGTTGGAGCCTGCATGGACAAGTTGTGGAGATCCCCCAGGTTTGTAGATCGGCGTTGGACCCCCCTTCTTGCGGGCAGCCCCCCAGAGGAGCCAGCGCCGATCCACGAAATCCCGACGTTGCTAGTCCCTGCCCACTCTGAACAGGACTCGCTGCCAGCGTCTCCGCGGACGTTTTCCATTCGAGACAAACGTCTCCTGCCCTACGGCGGCCGCCGCGGTCGGTTTTGGACCATTCTGTGCTAGGAGGAGGAGGGTCCTCGTCGTCGTCCCCGCTCGGACCGACGAGGGCATCGATGCCCGCCGCGACGGCCTTCGGTGCCCGCCGGCGAGGGCTCTCCTGTTCTCCTGGCCTGGAGGATCTTCGGGACGAGCGCAGCTCTCGCGCCCAGATCCAGCGCCTTTTTCGGTGCCGGCAGTCTCCTCGCAGTCTCGGCCTCGCGGGGCCGCATTCCTGCCCTCGAGACCGAGATCGAAGAACAAAAGCGGCAGAAAGTTCTCGGAGGTCCTCGCGGATTTCTTGGATCGGTGTTTGGCCCCTTTGGCGGCGCTTCTGGCACTGTCCATGGCGCGCTCCGCAGGGCAGGCAGGGGGGGGGGGGCCAACACCGATCCAAGAGATCAGCGCGGATCTCCGAGAAAGTATATCTGAGCAGTTTGTTGTTTGTCTACTTCTTGCTTCCCGGACAAAGAGTGGATCCCAGAAAAGAAAAACAGTTGTTGGGAAGAGGGCTCCGGATCTTGGGAACGCCGTGAACAGAGCAAGGAAAAGAACGTGGGGCGTAGGATCTTGGGCAAAAAGAGCTGTAAAGGAGCAGGAACAGAAGCAGGCGTTGATGTAGGAGCGCTTTCGCGTAGGACCGAGGCGACTCGCTTGGAAAGACACGCAACGGATCGGCCTCAGAGGTACTGCGCGGAAGAAGTTGTGTGCGAGGTGGGAGGTGGAACTGTCCGTAGTAGCAGCGATGGATCAGACCATATTGGTGCAGTGCGTGCGGGTTTGCTGATATCTATAATTGCGATATTGTTATGACGGCCTGCTCAGTTGCATACGTTGGTAGGGGCTCTGACCACCCCGCTTCGCCAACATCTTGTCGCAGTCCTGGGGAGATCTCTAGAGGAGGAGCAGCATCCACGCCAGCTGCAAGTGCGCACAAGATCGGGCACAGCGAACTCACGGGCCCTCAGGGTACCCTGGTGGGGGAGTGTTTTTTTTCCGCGTGCAGTGCAGCTGTCTGCGTGTGTTGCTTGGCTGCGCGCAGCCGCAAGAGGCCTCGCAGGGGGTGCACGGCCAGGCCGTTGCGCGTTGCGGCGCTTGGCCAGGGCGAGACGTGCCACCCTGGAGCGCGTGCAACCGTCCGCGAGCTGAAGGAGCTGCTAAACAAGATTCGGATTTTGAAGATGCCGAAGGAGCAGCCGACAGCTGCGCAGAGGATTAGCCCGCGCCACGCCGCCTACAAGGTGTCAGGGTTGGTTTCGGGCGAGCCGTCCTTCACACAGCTCTTTTCGCACGACACCTGGTCCACTTACACTGCCAAGTCGCCGTTCCTGCGGTGGGGTCGTACTCTCGCAATGTGGCGTTTCTCGACAGTGCTCCGGTCGACGCTGCCCATCTGCACGGCGGCTGCGATCTGGGCGCTCTGCGTGGCCTCGTTGCCGTCGCGCCTACTCGCGGGCACCTCGCCCGTGCCGATTACCCTGATGGGCTCCGCGATCGGTCTGCTCCTCGTGTTCCGCACGAACAACCTCTACGGCCGGCTGATGGAGGCGCGGCTGCTCTGGGGCCGCGCCGTGTGGTGCTGCCGCCAGGCCGCTCAGACCATCGCCACGAGCATGCTCTTCGACGAGAGCCTCGAGGAGCCAGCGCAGCCGGCCGCTCACGCGGCGGCCGCGCAGGCCTGCCGATACTTGGCGGCCTTCCCGTGGGAGCTGAACGCGAAGCTGACGGGCAAGGACGACGGGAGCGGCAGGATGCGGGACCTCCAGCCGGGCGAGGACCTCGAGGTGCTGCAGGCGCTGCTGCCGCCACGCGAGGCCCAGTGGGTCGGCCAGTCGCGGTCGCGGCCGCTGCACCTGCTGGGCGCGACGCGCCGCGTGCTGCACGACCAGCTGAGAGCAGGCCGGCTGCACCACATTGTCTACCGAAAGCTTGAGGAGGACTTGAAGGAGCTCGACCTCGTGGTCGGTGGCTGCGAGCGCCTCTACTCGTCCCCGGTGCCGCCCACGATGTCGCGGCACGCCATCCGGTCGATTACCTTGTGGTTGTTGGGATTACCATTCGTGCTCGCTGGGTCGATGCCGCCAGCCGCTGTTGCACTCTGGACATTTGCGACCTCGTACATCTTCGTTGGCATCGAGGAGACGGGCGCGCAGGTCGAAAATCCGTTTGAGGTCTTGCCGATGACGCACTTGTGCAACGTAGTACTCTTCAACATCGAGGAGGCGATCGCGTTACCGCCGTGACCCGCCAGAGTTCGGATACTTCCACCATGCATGTGTCATTGCATGCATACAGCAGCTATGTCTGCGTAATTAGGTTTGTACGTCCTTGTGGGTGCATTCCCCTCGTCTCTTTCTCCTTGCTGTGCATGTATTGCGTTGCGCGCTCGTGTGAAGCCCTGCGCTGCAAAAGTCTATGTATATACATATGCAAGTGTGAGTGTGTGTGTCATGTGTTCGTGAGTGCGCACACACAGGTAGAGATTAGTATCTCCATACCTGCATGTCTAGTCTTGTATATCTATAGTTATACATGTACCTATATATATATATATATATATATATATATACATATAGATATACACATACATATGTGTGTACATAAGTATGTATATGTAGATATGTGTATATACATGTATGGGTATTATCGGGGGCGAAGTCGGGGCTCTGCCAAAAAGAGGACGGGGGGCATGAGGAGGATGAAGAGGAGGGCGAGGGGGGGGGGGCGGAATATCAGGGGAGGTCGGGGAGAGAGGAGGAGGAGAGAGGAGGAGGAGGAGGAGGAGAAAAGAGTCACGGAAGAGGAGGCCCAACCCAGGAGGAGAGGAGAGAAGACAAGACAAGGAGGAAGATGGATCGGACGCGGATGCAGGAGGAGGAGAAGCAAGAGAGGAATACTCGGGGCTCAAAAAGGTGCCCGCCGATGGCCAGTGGTTGGTTTTGGGTTCTTGGGCTTTGCTGAAATCGGCATCTGCGACCAAATGAAGAAGTCTTGTGTCAGGTCGTGCACATCTTAATACATCTATAAAATATAAAATATATATATATATATATATAATAATTATAAATAATATAATATATCATATTATCCATATCACGTCATTATTTCATAAGACATAACATCATAATAGAGGGTTTGGTCATTGGCGGTCGGCCATCCTGCCACCGTGCCTGGTTGAACAGAGGCGTAGGGCTCTTTGGGCGTCTTGGGGGCCTGCTCGAGGGCCTCCTGGAGACATCTTTGCATCTTGGAGTTCCTCTGGAGGGCCTCCTGGGTCTTGAAGGCGGTCCTGGCGGTCATACTTATGGGCGGAGGTTCTGCTCCATCCGCACGTCGTTGCTCTGATGGTCCGAGCCCCGAGAGCTCTGCAAAGCCCTGCCGAGTGGTGGACCAAGATGCACAGCCAGGGCTCGTTTCGATTCCCCCGATTCGATTCGATTCGATTTCGATTATTTCCGATTCGGATTCGATTCGATTTCGGAATCCGATTTTGGCTCCGATTTCTTAATGGAGGCGTACTACGCTGCCGATTTCTGCCGATTCGACTTTTCCCGATTCGACTGCCGACTGCCACCGATCCGATTCATGTCGGTCGCCGATCCGATTTGTCGATTCGATTCTGGGCCCTCCTGTGCACAGCACAGGTTCCCCGATCAGCATGCCGACGTAGTTCGAAATGCTTTGCTGGAGCTGGCAGAGCAGGGTACTGACTTTGTGTTACATCCGACCTACGTTTACACCAGCACCATAACACATAATTTCACCAGACAGTTTTGATTGCATCGAATGCCGCATGTCGATGCATAAGACGTCGTAGTATGTCGTTGGCACGTGCCCGATTATGTTGTTGAGAACCGGACCCGGTAACCGAACGCACAGCTATGCAATAACGAATTGCGTCGTTAATCAAGCGGGCCCTAGACATCACAAATCGTTAGTCGGAACCAAATTGGAAATGATGCCGTTGCCATCGGAATCCGCCGTACCGAAATTGGTCGAGAGATGGGGTCCGAACTTGAGGGATAGGATTTGATCGGAATGGTTGAAATGCGTCATGTGTAATCTGGTGTCTTGGACGGGGAGCGGCAGATTGAGGGGCATACCAGTGGAAATAGGGAGTTTGCGCATGTTCGGGGCGGAAACCAAAGTTGGAGACAGAAGGACAGGGAAAATGTGTCAATGAATTCTTGTGGAACGTACTGGGCGCTCGAGACAGGGCAAGATTGACGTTTCAAGACTCACATAGCAATCAGACAGAACCCCAAAAGGATTCATCAATTCTCATGATTGCCCGATCCCATGAATACGCGGTATTTGCAATCGATGTCCGATGTTGATTCTTGGCTCTCCCGATTCCAACTGATCCCAGCACACATTAGACACTGCTAAGCTCCAGCAGGGATCAAAATCTAACGAATCTTTGGGTTGGCTGTTTGTATCCCAGCTCCGGCTTTCATTACGTCTGTCACCGCGTTTGTCCCGAATGGATTGCCGTTGGAGCTGGTACTGGAGGACGCTAGGTGCGCGACGCTCACCGCTGGCTCCACATGCGGTCGGTGTGCCATCCTTGGAAAAAAAAAAAAGGAAGCCCTCCGTCCGTATGGTCCAGATGTTGATGTGGACGGCGTGAGTATTGCTTTCGGTTTGCGTGCAGCAAGCATTATCATTCGGGCACGACCGCCGTCCCTTACAAAAAAAAACAGTACAAAGTGATCGCGGGTGGCCAGTACAATACCAACAATGTGAATTTTGCATTGTTTTTTTTGACACGGATGGTGGACTCCGTTATCCCTGACTAAGAAATTATACAATAATGTTCACAGGGCGCCAGCGCATTGTCCAGATGTTGCAATGTGCCCTTCGTGTTGTTTTTGGCACGGATTATGGAGGTTGTTGGCAGGGTGGGCCCCGCAATGTGCGTGTTGATTGTTTTTGTTGCAGGGATGGCGGGAGGGAGACCCGCATGGTTCTGGGTTGGTTGCCGCCGGCCAGGTGGGAGAGGCGATGTTTAAAAGACCAGTGATGAACCCTTCCCCGAAGGGCCAGTTACCCCCTAAAAGGCTGATGTGATTATTTTGCATGATCGCGTTTTTTTAACACCCTTTCGTACTCCCCCTTTCCATGACGATGCTTTTTCAATTCCCAATCACCGTGGAGCAGTCCTTTTCTTTTAGCAACATTTGTTGTCAGATTGTCCGATCTCTTTCCTCCTTTTCCGAAGCGTTATTTGCGGAGACAGAAAGTGGAATCGGTGATTTATGAACAAATAAGACGAACGCGGTAGACATAATATTATTTTTTGGTCACACAGAGCGTGGAGGTGTGGGCATGCATTTGGGTGTGGGCGTGGACGTTCTTCGCCGTGGTCGTGTGCGTGGGCGCGGGTACGGGCGTCGGCGTTAGCGCGGTGGGCGCGGGCTTGGGTATGGGCGTCGATGTGGGTGGTGTGGATTTAACATCGGCATCGGCGTTGTTAGCCGTCGTTGCGTTGCGGTTACGTGATTGTGACCGTGACCTTATGGGCGTAAGTGCGGGCATGGACGTGCGCAGTGGCCGTGACATTGCCCGTGGGTGTGCATGTGGGCGTGGATGTGGGCATGGGTGCGGGCGCGGGCACGGGTGTGGACATGTGTCAGGTCGTTGGCAAGGGCGTGGGCGCGTGGGTGGGCGTTGGCGTGAGCGCGGGCTTATGCAAAGGCGCGCAGTTGGGGCTCAAACCATTTTTATCACCGTCTGCGCGCTGGGACCGGCGCCAGGGGGCTCCGGTGTACGCGTGGACATGCGATCGATTGTTCGTGAAGGCGTCGACGTGCTCGCGGGCATTGGCGGTAGGTGGCGATGCGAGCGTGGGCCTGGGCATGGGCGCGCATGTAATTCAATTTTGGTTCGAGTGCGGATGCTGCCAGTGATTCGAATATGAGGAGGGCGAAGCCTTTCGGTTATTCGGAGATTTGCAGAAGCGGCAGCATTTTCTGGGCGACGGCCGTCTGCAATACCGGCAGGTGCCCCATTTAGCGGGATACTGCTCGGTGGGCGTTTGTCTGCCGAAACTATTGTCCTCTGGTTTGGTGCAAAAGCTGTTTAAATAGGAATGTTTTTGCCTTCGCCATTTCTGTTTATTCGATCTCCCATTTAGTGGGTTTAGCCTGCTTCCTATTTAAGAGGTTCGGCGGGCTTTCCTTCCATGAGATTTCCGCGTGCCTCAGCCTCGGTACGCCGAGGGCACATTGTGTTTTTGATACCCTCGCGGTTTGCATTACTATTTGCCAATGATCAAGTATATT